GACATCAACCACCCGCCTTCTTCGCTCTTCGAGTCTGCGTCACAGGTAAGACCGCTACTAGCGTAATAGCATCCCCTTTACCCCCTACTAATTCGATTTCACTCAAACTTGTGAATCAAGAAACTTGCGCCTTAGCATCTATGCTTTTCTTTGCATTTGTCCTCTGATTTTGAATCTATGTCCTGATTTTCACGACTAGTCTTCTCTACATTTTCCGTGATTGTTACAGGAATCGTCCCAAGCCCCTGCGACTCCCGCAACGAGCGACGGCTCGAGACCCGTCGTCTGTCAGGACGTCAACATGTTTTGCGATCGCGAAGACGTCGCAGACGCGTCGCACGGTCTCGCCACCTCGACAGCCGCTCGCACACACCCTGCTCGCGTCCCGTCGTTCGCGAGCCGTCAGCAACCTATTTCCCTTCAACGAGCCGTTGCAAATCAACCACTGGAATGCCCGCACGCCAGCGACATCGCGAATCGTTGGCAGGCGTTCGAGCGAATGGCAACAAACTACGGGCCTACTAACGCCGTTTCCGGCCCGCAGTCTCCCGCTCCTAAGCCCGCCCTCCCCCGCAGCTTTCGTCATAAAGCCACGAGCCGGGTGTCAGGTCCGGACGTGAATGAGTTGGCCGTTTGGACATCACCTGATTCACCCGCAATTCACAGCCAGCAGCAGCAGAATCAGAATCGTCCTCAACAAAATGTTCTTAATCAGCAGATGCAGCAGCTTTGTCAGCAGAAGCACAGCCAGAAAACTATCGTTCCGCCAGTGGAGATGACTGGAGGAGGTGACGAGTCGCCCGACCATTGGGCCGACGCTGCTACGACTCATAATGATAGAATTGCGAAGACCTGCGCGCACTGTGGCACGTCTAAAACGCCTCTCTGGAGAAACGGCCCTCCCGGACCCAAGGTAATCACGTCATCCCTTCTTTCTTGCATTTTCCATGCATTTTTTGTCGACAATGGCGTCATCCTATCGCGGCCGTGGATTGTGCTAATTTTTGCTCCTCTTTCTCCCACTCTCCTTGGATGCAGTCACTGTGCAATGCGTGTGGAATTCGGTTCAACAAAATCCGCAGCGGCAAGCGCAAGGCCTCCCCCCAAGAAGCGGCGATGCTGCGGGAATACGAGACCGTCAACCCGGCTTTCTCCAAGCCTCTGCCCCAGTCACCCGTGCAGAAAGCACGAACCAAGCTACCTTGCGCTCCTGCTGGACCACTTGGTGACAACTTTGTGTCTTTCACTGGAGCCATCACGGTTGGTGTCGCTAGCAGCAACAGTGACTGTGACAGTGAGGATGGCAGCCCACGGTCTCGGCTTGCCATGCTTCCGAACAATTTCTGCCACGGCCTTCCTGCCCCAGCAGGAATTTCTGCCACTCAGCGTTCCCTGTCGGTCGTCTCGTCCCATAAAACTACCTCTTTTGCCCCTGCTGTGGCTGCTCCTGCTCCTGGTGCTGCTATGACAGCGGTTGCATCCGACGTGTACCTGGAAAAATATCGCCCATTTAAGAAGCAGCGCAAGGCGTCTCCTCCTACCACTCCCTTGGGTGCACAAGGGGACCGCACCGGGGAAGCTGATAGCACGGGAGTGAGTTGCTTGAGCATCCAGGGAGCAAGACGATTCTCCTGCACTGGAGCCACAGCAGTAGGTGAGTGTAGGTGCTATATTCCTTCCCTTGTGGACCTAAATGAAGCCAGTCCAGGAACAGGAGGGTCAGAGGAAAGTGAAGTGTGTGGGGGCTTCAGGAGAAAGCAGGTAGAAGAGGAAGCATGCCTGCTGCTTGGTAAGGAGCAACAGGCAAAGAGAGAGGATGAAGACGATGCGGTGCTTGGAGCTGAGCTGCTTCTCTCACTTTTTGACAGCAGTCCAATGTAAATATTGTGTGCATATTAGTGCTCAGGTTCATGTAAATGTGAAATAAGATTGGTAACTTCAGCTTTATTTCTTGAGAGTATAAACTACGGAACATTCCCTTTCAAATGTAATGTTATGGGAAACTAGCCTGTTTGGTGAGGCATCTGATTTCTGGTCCACTCTTGCACGCATAACAATGTATCCATATGATATCCTCACTGTAATTCATAATTTATGGTTGTAACGAGAACATCCTGGGCGAACTGAGTCTGATGAAACGGGAATCTCAAGCCCAAGCTGCATGGATGCAAACTCGCAGATGTGGCTGGGAGACGTCCAAGTCGTTCTAACCACATGGGTCCACGTAGGCACAAGAACGATTCTAGTCAGAGTACAACCGAAGAGATGAATGGCGTAAATTCACGACGAATGATATCCTTGTATCTGCCAGCCAGGCATCCCTTCAAGCTGTTTCACGGACCAATTAGAAAGAGAATATGGATGAGTTTGGTTCGGGTAGTGTCGTCATCCAGTCTGCCTTCCGTGCAAGACCAGGTGCGGGCCACTCGAACTCATGATTGCGTCAACAGAGATGCAGGATATTTGCCACTTCGATGATGTGCATGCCACAGTCGCTGGTCACGCGGCATACAAAGCTCGTCCTTCAAAATGTGGATGTTTTTTGGGGGGACGGGCCGGGCATCGTCATTCTGATCAGGTGTACAAGACCGATAAAGCAAGCATGGAATTCGTACAGAGCCTGCCCTACGTTACTGTCAAGGCCCCTCGAAGCTAGTCCACCATTCCTCAGGTCGGCCATCAGATTCGTCAGACGTTTCCCTCAGAACAGACCGATCGTTTCAAATCAGTCGTACGGTGGTGGTGAAGTGTTCTGTGCGTACGTACACATCACAGCCGTCGAATGAACAAGCATTCCTCGATCACGTCGACGCAGTCGTCAGGTGTTCGTGTGCGTGTGGGTGGGACATTCAAGAATTGAGATGTTTTGCTTGCATTGCCTCGTACAGTAATCGTATCAGGTCAGACTTTTGTCCATCGCCATCGGGCTTGCGGTCTCCAATTTTGTTTTCAGCTCCTCAATGATTCTTGCGAAAGTGCGGTAATTTGTCTGTTTGTTCGAAAAATGGACGCTGGCAATTCGCCTTCATCAAGGCGTGTTGCAATTGCTGGTGCACTGCACCGGCTCGGGAATTCTCGAAGGCTCCCGGCTGGCGGGAAGCCAAACTCGGGCCCTGAGTCGGGAAAGAAATGTTTCAGGATAGTGATTTGTTTAGTCATTTGCCAAGGTTCTATTAGGACATAGAATGTTTTCGCGCGTTTTCTGTAAACCTTTTACGGCCTCCTGCTTTCCTAGAGCCTCCCCAACTCGTGCCACGAGCCGAGCCGATGCAGTGCACCGCAAATTGTAACACGCCGGCCGAAGAGGATCCTGACATGTTACTGAACCAAGAACGGCCCCATATTTGTAGTGAAATGCGTTCCAATACCCTGATAACACAGGTGATTTCTCCACGCTTGGGTTCGCGCGTGGCGAAGCCAGTTTCGGTGTTGCGCTACAACAGTTGCATTGAGCGAGTGCATGCGCACAAGTCCCCCTCCATCCCTCCCTCCTCGTGCACTGTCCCACCCTCCCCCCTTTTCTTGACACACCTCCACATCCCCTTTCCTTTTTGCACAGCTATTTACACCCACTCTGCCCCTCCCCAACCAGCTCCGAATATCATGGTCACATCACGGCAATCACCCTGTCCTGGCCGAATATCAGAGCCTTGACCATTCACAACACTGCGCCATACATATCCTAAGAGAGATAGGAATGCTGTCCTCGTTTCTCCCTTCTACGTGTAGTGCCGTGACCGTTCTTGAACTCACGTAGTTTGATCCGCCTCAAAAAGGATTTTGTTTCCTCCTGCCCTGCCTGTACTCAACAGTTTTAGGAGAATTCGGACTTTTCTCCGCCAAGTGTTTGTACTGAATTGAGGACTGACAGGACAATCTGAAACGGCTCCCTCGTCTGGGCACGTGAAGCCCTTCTGTACACAATCCTTTCTTTGATCCGCAATGGTTTCCTTTGTACAGAACCAATATGCAGTTCATTTCCTGTCAGACAGGCAGGTCAGGGCATCCCTCCCACGTCACTTCCGTTCCGTCCGTTTCGATCCAAAATCAGATGGTTCTAGCCAAACCTGGACCCTGATCTGGTCTGGTGATGCCGGTGTTTACGATTGGCCGATTGGTCTATGTCAGCATGAATCAGCGAGTCATGCCGCATCAATGCCGGAATGCTGAGTCACTCTCAGGTGAGGCTGACTAGCTCACAGCACAGCAGACTGGAATGGGGTGTCACAGTAGTCTGCTGCGGCAGGCAGAAAGGACCTTGGATATGAACCGAAGTTGCTCTTGGAGGAAAATAACCACCGGATATTCGATACACTTGTGCCAATAATCTAACATGTCAAAGACAGTCTTGAATGAGTTTCACGAATTATAGCATGTTCGTGCTGCTGACTTGGGACCCAGATGAAATACTAGTGATGATCCACTCGGCAAACATGAAAGTTGCTGTGAAGACACCGAAGCATGATTTTACCTTGCAGGCTGTCAAATAGGCGAAACAAAAGTGTACTGTGATAGCCAGCAAACCAGCAATTCGCCACCAAGCCACCGAGGCTGAAGAGCACGAAGGCAGAAATCGGTCCTCTCGGGGGCATTGAACAGCCGAGCTCGTTCATTGGGCAATGCTGCAGCAGACATCCCGATTCCCCCTACTCTCTGCCCCTCTCGCCTCGCCTAGGCGCGCCCGATCAAACCGACCTTATCCTTTCAAGACCCTTCTTCTGTTTCTTCATTTCCCGAGCCTTCACTTGCCTTGATCATTTTCTCATTCCTGATCACAGTAGCTACTGAATCACCTGCCAGCAGCTCTAGAATAGGTTCTCCCGGTTCGATAATCGCGTCTTAGTCGATCCCGCCAGCCACCGATCCTTCAGTCCCCGCGGCGCGCGTCTCGTGCACACCCGTTCTATCACTCTCCCATCTCTCGTTGATCTATTTTTCATTCCCTAATCGTCTAAAAATCCGACATGCTGCACGTTCAGAGCTCGCATTCGCATCCCGCAATGGCCGGGAACTATAATAACGTCATGAAGAAGCCATGGAAAGGGCAAAAGCCTCCTGCTCTCGAGTCATTCCCTTCGATGGAATCCTCGGATTCCGGACCTCCAGCGCTCGTTTCTTCTTCCATGAGCTTCCGTCACTTACTTTCCCGCCCCCTGGTCGAAGCGCCTTGCGATCCGTCGTATCCGCCGTCCATTTCCGCGATTTCCGTTGCTCCCGTGATTTCCCATCGTCCAATTAGCGTCCATGTCTTTACGGAGGACGCGAGGGACTACGGCTCGCATGCGCGACACGGGATGTCGGCTGATGGGGGCTGTGTCCGTGAGGCGCATGCGACATTTCAAAGCGACGGGGGAAGCGACGGAGCAAGCGACGTTTTCGCGTTCTCCGCACAACGGAAGTCCTCTCAACCGATGATTGACATCAACCACCCGCCTTCTGCTCTCTATGACTCGACGTCACAGGTAAAGTCGCAGACAATCCCTAGTAACGTTACTGTAACTCAAGAAATGAGAAATCCCTACAAGAACTTACGTCGTCGAGTGCTTTTATTTCTTTTTGTATCTTTCTTCTTCTCGTGATGCCTCAATAATCATGATCCTTTGTTCACTCTGCGTAATTTCCTATAGGATTCCTCTCAAGCCCCTGCGACTCCTGCGGCGAGCGACAGCTCCAAACCTGTCGCCTCCCACGGCCTCAACATGTTTTTCGTTCGCGATGACGTCGCAGACGCGTCGCACGGTTTCGCCACCGCGACAGCCGCTCGCACACACCCTGCCGCTGTCCCTGCTTATGCCATTTCTGGCCCACGGTCCCCCGCTCCTAGGTCCTCTCTCCCCCACAGCCTTCGTCATAAGGCCGTTAGCCGGATGTCAGTACCGGATGTGAACAAAGAGTCGATCGTCGTGAATGCATCGAAATCACATGACTCGCACAGACATCAGCACCAACAGGATCGTCATCAGCAGCAGATGCAACCGCTTTATCAGCAGAAGGACGCCCGGAAACCAGTTTACGTGCCTGAGATGATGCGAGAGGAGGTGACTGACGGCGACGAATTGCCCGACCGTTGGGACTCGTGCGAAGGGGACGATGCGGCTGCGACGCAGAGTAATGGAATCGCGAAGACCTGCGCGCACTGTGGCACATCGAAAACGCCCCTGTGGAGAAATGGGCCTCCCGGACCCAAGGTAATATCATCATCCCTTTTTTCGCATGAGGTGTAGACATTCAAATATTCTGATAAATATGTTGACATTTTAAAATCTGGATGGCATCACTTGCTAATTTCCCGTCTTATGTACTTTCTCTCTTCGTTTCTGCAGTCACTGTGCAATGCATGCGGCATTCGATTCAACAAGATCCGCAGTGGAAAGCGCAAGGCATCCCCCCAGGAAGCAGCAATGCTGCGAGAATACGACTCCACCGACCCGGCCTTCTCCAAGCCTCTGCCTCAATCGCCGGTACACAAAGCGCGCTCCCGGCTTCCACGCCCTCGTGCTGGTCTCTTTGTTTACGCGCCGTCGTCATGCTGTGAAGGCCTTCCATCTGCTGCCACCAGCAGCAACAGTGACTGCGGCAGCCCAGTAGGAGAAGGGCCAGAGGAGGGTGAAGTGTGCGATGAGCCGATGCATGTCGGGAAGAAAGTTTGTCTGCGGCATGAGGAGCAGCAGCTTGGGAATAAAGTGGATGAAGACGATGTGGTGCTTGGAGCCGAGCTCCTCGTCTCACTGTTTGGCAGCTGCCCAGTGTAAATGCTCTGCTGTGCGGGCAGGGTAGCCTCTCAAGCAGCCTACTGTCTGCTTGATTGTAAAATAATACCTGTACAGTTAGTTCCTCCCAAAGGTGTAAGTAGATTGTATCTTCATAATGTAGTAAAGCCCCTTGCTAATAAAGTTTAGTATCAGTGAGAAAGTGGAGAGCTTCAAGTGGATAAGTGAGCTTTTATAACATGTTTCCAACTCCATAAATTATCATTTTATACCCTTTCCACAAGCCACATGCCCAGATTCTATGGAGACATAATGATAATAAGAGGGTGATATTTGTTCAAGGTGTTTCTGTTCCCTGGTGGCGGAATATGTGGAGTAAGATGGTTTGACTTGCGTGTGGAGATCATGTACCACGTCGGTATGACGCATTCTTTAGGCCTACTTGCGTCATCCTGAACATCAACAAGCAATCATGCCTCACCACGTCGGCGTGCTTCCTCACCAGCCACTTGGTTCCAGCGCCAGTTCCGCTTGACCGGAATTGTCATACGATCGCATGACCTGGAATCAGCCGAGACGCGTACTGTACTTTGCGCCGCGCCGCACCTACAAATTTTCCAGCCCCTCCACAATTCCCCTTCCCCAGCTTCACATGTCGAGAGAAAAAATATCATGCCACGCACGGCTCTCTGCTGCGCCCACCACCTCCGTCTTTCGTGAAATTCGTGTTTTGTCATCCAGCCAACTCAAACCAGCGACAATTTTCGTGCATATCTTGCACCATCCCTCCCTTTCCTTCCTGGTGCATGCTTCGTGGGGAAACTCACCAGCAAGCCTTCCTAGTTGTTTGAAGCACAACAAAAGGATGTATCACAAGCTAGTCGCGACACACGAGCTGAAACTGCAGTCGCCCTGCGGGATTTCCAATTGCCTGCAGTGTCAGCCCTCCCACTCGAATGTTCCCCACATTTCCACAGTCGCGCAAAATCGAGCCTGCTTACGAGTCTCCAGCAATTTGCTAGAAGTGACACTTCCTCGCATACTCACGTCTCGACATTCTGTCCTTTCAAGGCACCGCGTGCTGTCTCGGACGATATCGAACGCCACAATAGCAGACTCGCTACCGCATCTCGTCAGACATCATAGAAGAAAAGCGTGTCCACAGCCAGGCCTTAACTCGTACGCGATTCCATCTTCGTTACACACAGTCTCGTTAACTTTCCGTCACGAGTTTACGGAGAACCTGAACGTTGCGTCCCGGAGATTGCGCCGAGTATCGCGCACGGCGTGTTCCGTGGGTAATTATCGGTCGCGCCAAACCGACATGGGACTCTGTCGCATCGCATCATGCTCGCAGCCTTCACAACTCACTTTCTCTCCGGTAGCTATATTCGTTGCGACCCTCCTGCCTCTCTCCCTCATCTCCTCTTCCCATGCTCGAAGCATCCTACATCTTGGTACTTATTCGAGTTCTAGCGCGCTAAGTGATTTTTCTGCCCACGCCGCTACTGACATAGTCGCTAAAAACAACATTCTTGCCGGCCGGAGAGCCAAAGCCGTTAGATTTGACGAGCCGACAGAAGCCGACGCGGAATTCGAGTCGGCGAAACCTCCTGCGATAAACGACAAGCCGTTAATCGGCATTCTCTCGCAGCCGGGCGACGGCGATGGCGGGAAAGCGCCACGGTTCAACTTGAACCAGGCGGTTGATACGCCGTACGATGAGGGATCGTACGGCGGGGCGGAAGTCGGGCGACACAGGGCAGTTGACACGAACGTGTCGTACATTGCCGCCTCGTACGCCAAGTGGGTGGAGAGTGCGGGCGCACGACCCGTTCCGTTGCTGCACGACGAACCGGTGGAGGTACTTCGTCAGGTGCGTTTGCGAACTCTCCGAATCTTATTTCGCAGTGTTACTCTCGCAAGGCCCGAGTCTATCCACTTGGTGGGACGGGAAGGTGGAAATTGACGGTTTTTCTCTAATGAAGTGTTCTAATGGTCGACGGTAAATTCTCCGTGAAAATTTCAATGGGTCGACGGTAAGGTCTGCGTGATATGCTTCAGTGGGAAACGGATCAGTATTTGACTGTTTGTTTCCGTTTTTCCTGTTGTCTGTAACGTCCCTGTCACCAGAAATTCGATATGATCAACGGTCTGCTGATTCCCGGCGGAGGGACCGACTTGGTGCCTGGGCCTTTCATGTCTACAGTGCAACTGCTTCTACAGGTACATTACTTCCATTTTGCGACATAACTGCTTCGTTGCTTACTGTACAGCATGTGATCTTATCAGGCGTTTCCTTAATAGCTGCACACGAGTGTCTCTGCAAGCCTGGTAGCACCTTGAAGGCGTTCGATTGCAGCTAATCTTGTCATTAAGGAAAGGAATGAGAGCAATAACCGCTGGAATCATGCTTTTGGAATAACCGTTGAAGTCCGTCAACCGTTTTCCATGTGCAGTGGGCCAAGGAGGCGAACGATCGAGGCGACTACTTCCCCGTGCAAGCCACGTGCATGGGGTTCGAAGCCATGGCGATTGTTATTAGCGAGGTATGCTTGTAGCGGGTCAGATGTAGCGGGCAGCTGACGTTTTCATTCGTGGGCTGGAATTTGAATAACATTCGGCATCAGCTCTGTTGTCGAGGCGCCACCTCCGAATTCCACCTCCCTGGTCTGTTTTCCCTTTCCCTTCTCTCCTTCCCCTTCCCCAATTCTCCTTCCCCTTCCCCAGTTCTCCTTCCCCTTCCCCAGTTCTCCTTCCCCTTCCCAGTTCTCCTTCCCCTTCCCCAGTTCTCCTTCCCCTTCCCCAGTTCTCCTTCCCCTTCCCCAGTTCTCCTTCCCCTTCCCCAGTTCTCCTTCCCTTCCCAGTTCTCCTTCCCTTCCCAGTTCTCCTTCCCCTTCCCCAGTTCTCCTTCCCCTTCCCCAGTTCTGCTTCCCCTTCCCCAGTTCTCCTTCCCCTTCCCCAGTTCTCCTTCCCGCCTTCCGCATTCTTACTTCCTCCCCCGGTTCCTCTCAAACGTTTTGTCCGCCCACATTCCCCCTCCCTTCCATCGTGACATTGACCCGCATTGACCGGCATTGACCGCGATTGACCGGGATTGAGCATGATCCGCATTGACCCGCATTGACCCGCATTGACCCGCATTGACCCGCATTGACCCGCATTGACTCGCATTGACCCGCATCGACCCGCATCGACCCGCATTGACCAGCGTTGTCCCGCATCACCGGCATTAGCCCGCGTTCATCCGCATTGAGCAGCATTGACCCTCATTGACTCGCACATTTGACCCTCACGCACCCTTGCTGACCCACATTGACTCTCAGGACCCGGACCTGCTGGAGCTGAGGCGGTTCAGCGCCTTGGATGTAAATTGAGATCCCAAGCCTGTGCATCTTCTATTTGTTGCTTCTCTTGTTGACTCTTGTTGACTCTTGTTGACTCTCGATGACTCTCGTCGACTCTCAGGACCTGGACCTGCTGGAGCTGAGGCGGTTAAGTGCCTTGCATTGAAATTCATATCCCAATATGCCTCCACCTTCTCTAGTTGACTCCCGTTGACCCCCGTTGATTCTCAGGAACCGGACCTGCTCGAACTGAGGCGCTTCAGCGGCTTTGATTCACCTCCACATCTTCTAGTTGACTCTTGTTAACTCTTTCTGACTCGTTGACTCTTGTTGACTCTCTTTGACTTGTTAACTCCCGTTGACTTTCAGGACCCGAACCTGCTGGAACTGAGGCACTTCAGTGCGTTGGATTTGGCCTCTCCGCTCAAATTCGTGGGCAACTGGGTGCACCGCAGAAGCTACTTCTCCTGGTGAGGCCGCTTATAGCGAGTACGATCTGAACTCGTTACTAAGTGCGCTGCAGGAGCTGCTTCTCCCGTTGAGTCTGCTTATAACGAGTAAGATGGAATTTCCCCCCTTCGTCTCACCATGCCCCCTCTCTTCCCCTCTCTCTCTCTCTCTCTCTCTCTCTCTCTCTCTCTCTCTCTCTCTCTCTCTCTCTCTCTCTCTCTCTCTCTCTCTCTCTCTCTCTCTCTCTCTCTCTCTTCCCCCCTCTCTTCCCCCCTCTCTCTTGCGCCCCTCACTCTGTCTCCTGATTTGGCTGGGAAGGTGCAAGAGCTCCCTCTCCTCTCGTCCCCCCTCGTTCCCTCTCGTTTCACTGTGCCTCCACCCTTCCCCCCTCCCGCCGCGCCCCCCTCCATCCGCGCCCTTTCCCCCTTCTCGCTCTCAGGATGTCTCCGGATTTGGCTGCAAAGGTGCAAGAGCTCCCTCTCACCATGGAGAACCATCAGGTAACTTCCGGTTTTCCGACTTTCCTCCCCCCCTCTCTTCGCACCTCTCGCTCTATGTCATGAAAGGTGCAGAGGCTACCCTTCTCTGTGGAGAAGCATTCCATTGTTCAGGTAAGCTCCAGTTTTTCTTCTCCTTTGCCAATGCTCGCGATGGAGTACCTGTGTCCTCACCACCTCCTTCTCCTCCCCCCCCCCCTTCTCCGCACCTCCGTCCTCCTCCCCTCTCAGGACGGCCCCTCGGTGCATTGCTTCCTCTCCAACAGCCAGCTCAGGGATTTCTACTTTGTGCACAACACGCCTCTCCCCTTCCCATGACCCCTCAACCTGCTTTTTTCCCTCCCTCCTCCTCCCCCCTCTCAGGACGGCCCCACGGTGCATCGCTTCCTCTCCAACGCCAGGCTCAGAGATATATTCTCCGTGCTCTGTTCACCACCTCAATCTTTGCACCCTTTCTCCCTCCTCCCCTCCCCATTTCACCTCATCCTCCAATGCACCCCCCTCCCCCCTCTCAGGACGGCACCACGGTGCATCGCTTTCTCTCCAACAACAAGCTGAGGGATTTCTTCTTTGTTCTCACCACCTCGTTCGATAAGAATGGACTGGTACAGCATGGAATGTTGTTTTTGTCTCTCGTTCATTACTGAAATGCTATATTTTAAATTACTGTATCAGAGAACTTATGATTGCGATGATTTTGAACACAATGTGGTTCGAATGATTCCATCTGCGTCTCACTGTTGAGAAGTGTATGTATCATGTCTTTACAGCAGTTCAAATCGGTACAGTGCAGGGAAATTAATTTCTGTACTTATGTTCCTGTTCTCTCCGTGTGCCAATCCGTGACTGTAGGAGTATGTGACAACAGTGCAGGGAAAGCGGTATCCCTTTTATGGCACGCAGTGGCATCCAGAGGTGGGTTGTCGCATGCTGACGTGGGTTCTGTCACGCTGACGTGGTTTGTGACATGCTGACGTGGCTGGTAGCAGCAGAAAGAACGTCAAGTCAGGTTTGGACCACATACCCTACGCAGCATACCATACGTCAAGATCTCAAAACTCTCTCCTCTCGCTCATTCCTCCCTCGCTCGAATGGTATCTTGAGACGTCTCAAAACACTCGCTCGAATGGTATCTTGAGACGTCTCAAAACACTCTCTTGCATGGTATCTTTCTTTTCAACAGAAAAAACGCGCACGAGTGGGGGCTGGATCACATACCCCCTGCAGCAGGCGCCAATGCTGTGGGTCAGGTCCCTCATGCTGGTCTCATTCCGCTCTCCCCTCTGCTCCCTCTCATTCAACAGAAGAACGCCTATGAGTGGGGGCTGGATCACATACCCCTGCAGTATTTCTCAAACTCCTCTTTCTCTTGTGCCTTTTCCCCTCTCATTGCTTCACACGACGCACAAATCAACAGAAAAATGCATATGAGTGGGGGTTGGGTTGGACCACATACCCCATGCAGCAGACGCCATTGCTGTGCTTCTCATTCCTCCCTCCCCTATCCTCTGTTCCCCTCTCACCTCTTCACCCAACCCTCTTCACACAACAGAAGAACACGTACGAGAGGGGGTTGGTTGGACCACATGCCCCATGCAGCACACACCGTGGCAGTGGGTGTGCTTGTCAGGACTCACACACCATGGCGGTGGGTGTGCATGTCGGGACTCACACACCGTGGCAGTGGGTGTGCTTGTCAGGACTCACACACCATGGCGGTGGGTGTGCTTGTCAGGACTCACACACCATGGCGGTGGGTGTGCTTGTCGGGACTCACACCGTGGCAGTGGGTGTGCTTGTCAGGACTGACACACCATGGCGGTGCTAACCCTAAACCCTTTTTTCTATTCTCATTCCTCCTTCCCCTCCCCTCCCCTCCCCTCTCATTCCTTCACACACAACAGAAGAATGCATACGAGTGGGGGTTGGACCACATACCCCACGGAGCACATGCCATAGCTGTGGGTCAGGCAGCAGCCAACTTCTTTGTCAAGTGAGTTGGTCTCTTTAGCTGTACAGTCAGATGCACTACAGTCACAAGTGCTACAGTCACAAGTGCTACAGTCACTAGCACTAATCACTCTGCCACACACCACACGCCATAGCCGTGGGACAGGCAGCAGCCAACTTCTTTGTCAAGTATGTTGAAAGTGGTCTCAATAGCGCTACAGTCACACGCACTGCACTCACGCACTACAGTCACACGCACTGCACTCACGCACTACAGTCACACGCACTACAGTTGCACGCACTACAGTCACACGTGGTACAGTCACACAAGCTACGGACTCATGCGCTACAGTCACACGTGCTACAGTCACACGCGCTACAGTCACACTCACGTTCAACTTGCTTCCATTCCCCGTCCACTCTGCCTCACATCTCCGCCCTCTCACATCTCCACCCTCTCACATCCCCGCCCCTTCCTCCTTATTTTCCCTCCCCTTTCCCCTCATGGCAGTGAGGCTCGGCGCAACACCCACTCTCCAGCCTCGGACGAGAGCATGAACGACTTGCTTCTCTGAAAATGCTCTCCTGTTCCTCCCATTTCTCCCCACTCCTCCCCAATCCTCCCCATGGCAGTGAGGCGCGTCGCAACACCCACCATCCTGCCTCGAATGAGAGCATGAACGACATTCTCTACAACAAATCTCCTGTTCCCCCCCACTCCTCCCCACTCCTCCCCACTCCTCACCCACTCCTCCCCACTCCTCACCCACTCCTCACCCACTCCTCCCCACTCCTCACCCTCCCCACTCCTCACCCACTCCTCCCCACTCCTCACCCACTCCTCCCCACTCCTCACCCACTCCTCCCCATTCCTCACCCACTCCTCCCCACTCCTCACCCACTCCTCCCCATTCCTCCCCATTCCTCCACGTACCTCCCTATGGCAGTGAGGCTCGGCGCAACACCCACTCTCCAGCCTCGGACGAGAGCATGAACGACTTGCTTCTCTGAAAATGCTCTCCTGTTCCTCCCATTTTTCCCCACTCCTCCCCAATCCTCCCCATGGCAGTGAGGCGCGTCGCAACACCCACCATCCTGCCTCGAATGAGAGCATGAACGACATTCTCTACAACAAATCTCCTGTTCCCCCCCACTCCTCCCCACTCCTCCCCACTCCTCACCCACTCCTCCCCACTCCTCACCCACTCCTCACCCACTCCTCCCCACTCCTCACCCTCCCCACTCCTCACCCACTCCTCCCCACTCCTCACCCACTCCTCCCCACTCCTCACCCACTCCTCCCCATTCCTCACCCACTCCTCCCCACTCCTCACCCACTCCTCCCCATTCCTCCCCATTCCTCCACGTACCTCCCTATGGCAGTGAGGCGCGTCGCAACTCCCACCATCCAGCCTCGGACGAGAGCATGAACGACTTGCTTCTCTGAAAATGCTCTCCTGTTCCTCCCATTTCTCCCCACTCCTCCCCAATCCTCCCCATGGCAGTGAGGCGCGTCGCAACACCCACCATCCTGCCTCGAATGAGAGCATGAACGACATTCTCTACAACAAATCTCCTGTTCCCCCCCACTCCTCCCCACTCCTCCCCACTCCTCACCCACTCCTCCCCACTCCTCACCCACTCCTCACCCACTCCTCCCCACTCCTCACCCTCCCCACTCCTCACCCACTCCTCCCCACTCCTCACCCACTCCTCCCCATTCCTCACCCACTCCTCCCCACTCCTCACCCACTCCTCCCCATTCCTCCCCATTCCTCCACGTACCTCCCTATGGCAGTGAGGCGCGTCGCAACTCCCACCATCCAGCCTCGGACGAGAGCATGAACGACTTGCTTCTGTACAACGGATCTCCTGTTACTCCCTCCTCCCCACTCCTCCCCACACCTCCCCACTCTTCCCCATTCCTCCCCATGGCAGTGAGGCTCGGCGCAACACCCACTCTCCAGCCTCGGATGAGAGCATGAACGACATGCTTCTGTACAACCACTCTCCCGTGTTTGCCGGCAAGAATGGGTGAGCTGCTTACTTTGTTGGCAAGAGTTGGTGGGTTGCGTGCTGTTACCTGTGAACTGAGGGAGGGCATGAACGACATGGTTCTCTACAACCAGGCTCCCGTATTTGCCAGCAAGAATGGGTGAGCTGTCTGCGGTGAGAATCACGGACTTGTCTTTGCCAGCGCGAAGGGTTAAGTGGCATGCTATCACCCGCGAGTTGAGAGAGAGGGGATGAACGACATGCTTCGGTACAGCTACGCTCCCGTGTTTGCTGGCAAGAGTGGGTGATTCGTGGATGGAATATCGCGTTTGCAGAGAAGAGCGGGTGAGTTGCCTACTCGCCGGCACAAATGGGTGAGTGACAGACTGTTACCGGTGAGCTGAGGGGATGCACGATTCACAATCTCAGGCAAAACGACTTCGAAACTAAGGGGATGCACGATGTTTTATACACTTATTTTTCCTTCCTTTTCTTTCCTGCTCGTTTATTGTGATGTTGCAGGCATGGGTACTTTGAGCAATCGTATGTGTTCAGGAAAGCGGTTGGTTCTGGTGATGCCGTTAGAACTGAATGAGAAGGTTGTTTTCACGCATTTATTAGCAGCACATGTTTCTGTTAGCATGCCTAGGTTCTGATTATTTTTATGTTCTGCATGAGATGTAGAGGAATATGCAGTCTTTTAGATGTTCATGCTGGTGCTGTGCTGCCAAGATCACATAATGAATCACCAAGGGAGAAGGGGATGAAGTACAGTGAGTTTGGTTTGAGAGGGCTGGTGATTGCGGAGTTGTTCTCGTTGCATTTTTTTTTTTGTACCAGGTTTTTGCACCTGTTTTTATCTGAACCAGTTTTTAGCATTACCGTATTCTCCCGGACATAATGCCCACCCCTAATAGTACACCCCCGGGTAGCTTGTGCGGGGTGGGTGCTATAACCGACCTCGTTTGTACTATACCCCCCTTTTGGGGTGATTCTCTATAAGACCCGGGGGGGGGGGTGTTATGGGTGGCACAATTGCATATTTGTCTTATATTTCACACTGTTAGGGGTGCAATCTAGTATTGAAACATAGCACCAGCACCTAGCATCTCATAAACAACAGAAACATCACAACTACGGTAGTTATGGCTTTGCACTACAATGCTTCTTCTGGTGCTATCTAGTCCTCATCGTCCCCTGCGACCCATTCCTCACACTCCTCTCCGTCATAGCGGTCGGCGCGCCACCACTCATCATCCTCGTCGTTGAACACTCCCGCCTCCTCGCCTTCTTCGGGCGTGTTCCACTCCTCCTCTTCCGCCGCCGCCGCCGCCTCCGCCGCCTCCTCCTCCTCTGCGGCTACATCCTCCTCTGCCGGCTGCAGCTCCTCGGCCGGCACGGGGGCCTCGGCGTAGAAGGGGTTGACGACGAGCTCGTCGTCAACCAGCTCGTTTACGTCGTCAAGCACCTCCACCTCACCCTTGTCCCTCATATGGGCAAGGATGAGGTGTTCCTCGCTGCCATTGATGGCGGTGGAGATCCCGCAGGTGATAAACGCTTTCTTCACGAGATCCTCTGCGACAGCTTCCCAGGACTCGTCGATCCAGCGGAGAACCAAGTCCGCAGGCGGCTTCTTCAGGTTGCCTGTGGGAAGGGAAGGAGTTGAAAAGTCAAGAATGTGTACTTGCAGTGTGTGCGCTGATGCTAGAACGATGTTGCTCAAACGGAACTCAAGACTGCAACTCACCTGCGCGAGTGGTTTGGTTGATGCCGACATCTTCGAACCATGTGCTGTAGCGGGAACGCACCCCGCACTTGAACGCGCGGTTAACCGACACATCCAGCGGCTGCACAAGCGGTGTGCAACCTCCTGGGATGACCGCCCTTGACAACCAAAACATCCGCATCGTTTGACCGACGGCCTCTGTCAAGTGGCCACGGTAGGAGTCGAGCACCACCATCGCCTCCCTGCGGCGGCCGGTGGTTTCCCGCAGGGGCTTCAGAAACGGCACTAGCACCTGGGTGATCCAGTCTTGCACCAGAGATTCGTCCATCCACCCCTTCTCTTGTGCACGGACCACCACACCTGCCATCGGCACAACGTGAGAGTCGTGGTAAGTTGCGACGCATGACAGGCAGGAGCACAGTAAAGAACGTTGATGTGTTACACTCACCGGCAGGGATGGGCACTTTCGGGATGGTCTTGCGCTTGAACACGACGTACGGAGGAAGTTTGAGCCCACCCGCCGTTACTGCCAGCATGACAGTAACACGCTCTTTCTCATAGCCTGCACTGCGTACGTGAACCGTACGTGCACCCTTCATTTCAATCGTGCGCTCCGCCGGTATCTCCAAGAAGAGCGGAGTCTGGTCCGCGTTCATGATGAGGTCGAGCGGGTAGTCGTGCAGAGTGCGCATCTGGCGCACAAACTCCCAAAATGCCTCCACCTTGGCCTTGCAATCTGCAAACAGAGCCACGGCACGTGTAAGTTAAACGGCGAACCCGCAATCACAATCGCACTGTTGCTTTACTTACCGGCAGCCAACTTCTGCCCCATCTTCGTCTTCACCCGCCTCGCCAAGTGCCAGCGCGAGCGGAAACGCGTCGCCCAGCGGAACGACGCGCGCCAGTTCACCGAGGGCATGCGGTGCGTCATGTACTTGGAGCTCCACTGCTGGAGCATGCGGACCGAAACGGCGAGGCCCTTCGCACGGTGGTTGAGGAAGTGGCGGTAGACCGCCCGTTCCATGAACGGGTACTTCGCCTTGCGGCCAAATCCCATGAGGCGACGGCGGCAGCCAGATGCGACGTCCAGCCGCTCCTTCATCTTCCTCCATTCGCGGATCTGGCAGGGCTGCACCTTCGCGAGCTTCGCCAAGGCGCGATTCCCCAGGTCGGGCTGAGAGTCTTGCAGCTTCAACCAGTGCAGCTTCTCCTTCACGGTGATCGCCTTACGTACTTTCTTCGTCATGCGATGGCGAGGGGATGGTGGCTCAGAATCCGCGTTGCGCTTCAGCTGACCCTGCGGGCGCTTACGCTCCGGGAAAGCGGGGACAGACACCCGAGGAAGGGGAGGGCGAGAAGCATCGGAGCTACTACTAGCGGGAGGAGACGGCTGGGGCAAGAAGGGGTGAGGCGACGTCCGTGCGCGTGCAGCAGCGGCAGATGGAGTGTTACATGGCCGCTGGCGCCTAACTATTGTACTGCTTGAATCAGGAGAGGAAGCCATACTCTACTGCAGATTGGTGTCACCCGCCATGGAAGGAAGGCATACCGTATAAACAAAGAACCCTCGCTAGTGTAGGACGGAGGCGCTCTCACAGCTTGCCGAGCAGTGTTTACGGTAGTATCGTGCACTAGAACCATTGTACAAGGAGGAGGAGAGACCCTTTTGAGGCACAGGGACGTGACCAAACCAGTCAAGACGTGACTGGTACAGGGATAACACAGCACCGTGCGCGATTCCGGCCCCAGTGTTTGCATGAACCCTCGCAGCGCAAGGCTGGCTCTGTTTATACCGAATCAGGTGCCAGAGTGGCCCACTGGAATTTGCCATGTGGCAGATTCCAGTGAAAGGTCACGTTATCCTCGAATACTCGGTTTTGCGGCCCTGACCAACAATCTAACAGTGAACCATTGAAGCTGATTTTTTTTCACATTGTTTTCTGCTTAAAAAAAATGTACCATATAATAAGACCCGGGTATTATATAGGAATTTCCGTTGAGAGGACCCCCCCCCTTTTTTCCCTGTAGTTATCATAATACCCCCGGGTGTTATGTCCGGGAGAATACGGTACCAGCTACATATCAGATCCAAATTCACAGACTCTGTCTAGATTTGAATTTCCCTACGCGCAAGGTCAAGACGAATTTGACACATGAGATCCCAATGCTTATTGGATGAGAGTCCCACGGCTAGGATTGGAGCAACTGTTCGCGCCACAACCAGCTTTCCTCCTGTTCTCTTTCTTGGCCCTCTGCCTTAACAGCACTGCCAGAACCAGCAGCAGCAGCATCACCGTAGCACTGAAAGCAGCAGCAGCAGCAGCAGCAGCACACGCAGCACTAGCAGCGATGCAAACAGCAGCAGCAGAAGCACCAAAACTACCAGCAGCACCACCAGCAGAAGCATCACCACCCTGAGCCATCAGCATCACTCCAATTGCTGTCCTACTACCGTACTTGCACTCCACTTTCTTACAACTCCACAAGTGAAAAACTGCTGTTTCACCAGCTGTTTTCCTCCTCTTCTCCCAATTTCAAGCCAGAGGCTATTGTTTCACAAGCCCCTTCCCTTTGCTCACACCCGGCTTTCCTCCTGGTTTCTTCCTTGCCCCTCCTCCCCCATCAGCAGCAGCAGCACCACCACCAGCACCAGCAGCAGCACCACCAGCGCCAGCAGAAGCACCAGCATCGCCAATAGCACTGATGCTACTGCTTCACAAGCCCCTTCCCTTTGCTCACAACCAGCTTCCCTCCTGCTTTCTTCCTTGCCCCTCCTCCCCCAGCAGCAGCACCAGCAGCACCCGAACCACCTGCATCGGCACCGTTGCTGCCACTCCCGTTTCTCCCCGAGCCTGTTCCGTTGGTTCGGCCAATCGACCCAAGAATGTTCTTTTTCACTGCAGTAGCACCAGCACCAGTAGGACCTGCACCAGTGGCACCAGCAGCACTAGCACCAACAACACCAGCACCAGCACCAGCAGTAGCAGCACCACCAGCAGCTGTATCTAAAGCCTTGCCCAGTACTTGTGCTAACTTGTCTCCTCCTCCCCCACCTCCTCCCCCTCCACTACCCTTCTCCTCATCCCATCCCTCCTCATCATCCCAATTCTCCCACCCTTCTCCTCCCCCACTCCCACTCCCCCTCCCCCGCCCACTCGGCCCCTGCCCTAATGCCAACGACAAATCCACCTCCTTTCCTGGAACCTTCGCGTACGCCGGACCTCCCAGCCCGCCGAACCTGCCCCCGGCCTCGCCGGTTCGGCAGCAGCAGAGGCAGCAGACGCAGAGGGAGAGTGCGAGAGCGGCGAGAAGGCCTAGCAGGAGACAGAAGGCTGCTGTTTGGGCCTCGGCATAAGGGAGGAAGGTGCTGAGAAGTGATGCTAAGGGAGCCAGAACAGGCTCTAAGGTTGAGGCAAGAAGAGAAGAGAGGGAGGGCTGGGAGGAGGGAGAGGAGAGGGAGGGAGAAGAAGCAGAAGAGGGTTCCAAGGAGGACGACGAAGAGACGGGGGGATTGAAGGAGGGAGGCAAGGAGGGTGGGGTGAGATCTTGCTCTGAGGGCAGAGTTGCCTTGGAGCTTCCTGATTGGGACATTTCATCTCCTTCTTCTCCTGCTGCTGCAGCCTCCGCTTTTGCTGCTGTGCCTCTTTCCTCTGCTTCTCCTGCTGCTGCTTCTGCTGCTGATGCTTTTGGGTTGGAAGGACCGAAATCCTGAAGTGTTCCATACTCATCCTCCTCTCCCCCATACGGAGACTCCCTGCCACTACCTGCACCACCACCCCCACCACCCCTACCACCACCACCACCACCACCACCACCAAGCTTTCCTGCCCCTGCTCCTGCTGCTGCTTTTGGATTGGAAGGACCAAAATCCTGAAGCGTTCCATACTCATCCTCCTCTCCCCCATAAGGTGACCCCCCCCTACCATCACCACCACCACCAGCACCACCGCCCCCACCAAGCCTCCCTGCCCCTGCTCCTTTTCCATTCAGCAGACTGTCTTTTCCTTCACTCTCAGACGCCTGAAACCCTCCTGCTCCTCTTTCACCTGTCACTGCACCTGCATTCTTACCACCTGAAACCCGCCCCCTGTTCGCCCCTTCTGCAGGATACTCGTCTTCCTCAGCCGAACCCTCAAGTGCATCTTCAGGTGAATTTTCAGGTGAATCTTCAGGTGCTTCTTCAGCAGCGAAGTCGTCTCCAGGCATTTCCCACTCACCCTCCTCCTCCCTTCCCCCCACACTCCCATCCTCTCTCTCCCCCTCTCTCGCCCCTTCTTCTGCACCATACTCTTCCTCTCCATCTGTTCCTTTCCTGGTATCACTACCAACTAAACCTTGTCCCCTCTCCTCCTCTCCATCTGTTCCTTTCCTCGCATCACTACCAACGAATCCTTTTCCCCTTTTCTCCCCAGCCTCCTCACCCCGATCCTCACTCTCCCCCTCTTCTTGTGCAGCAGGTAACTCCTCCTCTCCATCTGTTCTCTTCCTAAAATCACCAGCACCACCTCCTTTTCCTCTCTTTCCCTCAGCATCCTTCTTGGAAGCAGGAGCTGCTTCTGCTGCTGGTGTTGGATTTCCATGTACTCGTCCATCTGCCACCGAGTCTCCTTCCTCTGCTGCTGCTTCTGCATCCAGTGCCCCCTTCTCAGCACCACCCTCAACCCCGCCATCAACCCCACCCTCAGCTGCACCACCCTTCCCATTTTTACCCGGAGACCTGCTGTGCAAAAGCGCTTCCTCTCCTCCCTCCTCTGCTCTCATCTCCGCCTCCTCCTCTCCCTCCTCTTCTTCCCTTTCTGCATCCTCCTCTCTCCTTACCTCATCCCTTCCTCCTCCTTCCCCTCCCTCTCCCACTCGCACCCCTTTTGAGCCACCTCCCTTCTTCCCCGGCCGCTCAGTAACAGAAATATTGTCGCCCAAACCCCCCTCCCCCTGCTCCTCCCTCTCCTCCTCCCGCTCCTCTTCCTCTCCCTTTTCTCCCTCTCCCACTCTCACCCCCTCTGTGCCACCTCCCTTCTTCCCCTGCCGTTCACCCAAAACCTCCTCCGCCTGCTCCTCCCCTTCACCCTCCCTCTCCTCTTCGTCCTCTCCCCTTTCTCCCTCTCTCATCACACTATCCCCTGTAAGATCTGCTCCGGTAAGAGTACCCTTCCCGAACGTGCCCTTTCCGGCCGGGTCTTTCGACCTTTGAGTAGACCCACGCGTCTCCTCTTCTCCTCTCATCACACTAGTCCCTGTAATCTCTGCTCCTGTAAGCGTTTCTTTTTCGGACAACCCCTCTCCATCAGTGGCGTTTGCAGCAGCTAAATCAACCACGGCAACATCCGTTTCCCCTGCTGCTGTGGCAGCTTCTGCTGTTGAGCCTTCGCCACCTGCCTTGCTACCTGCTTTGCTGACCCTCCAGCTACTCGTCGCTGTACCCTTTCCCCCAGTGGCTTTTGCAGCAGGACCACCTACCAAAGATGCATCCAATTCTTCACCTTCCTTTGTCTCTGCCGCTAACTCATCAACCTCCTCTGCTGCTGTGGAGCCTTCGCCGCCTGCCTTTCCACCTGCCTCACGACCTGCTTTGCTAACCCTCCAGCTGTCTTTAGTTGCACCCTCCTTCGTCTCTGTCGCTAGCTCTTCAACCTCCTGTGCTGCAGCTGCGTCCTCTGCTTTGCCCTCTTCCGTTTCCTCTGCCGCTTCCTCCTCCTCCTCCTTCTTCTCCTCCTCCTCCACCTCCTCCTCTTCCCCAGCCAATCCTGCCTCCTCTTTAGTCCCCCCCTCACCCCCTCTCTTCCCCACCACTCCCGCTTCCTTCTCACCTCCCTTATCACCTCCCACCTTGGTTGTAACAGTTGCATCCACCAATTCCTCCTCTCCTCCTCTCTTCTCTCCCACCCTACTTGTAACATTCGCCACACTACTAGTAACATTCCCACCACCAGCACCAGCACCAGCACCAGCACCAGCACCGCCAGCAGCAGCACTACCAGCAGCATCAGTGCTTTTAGCTTTCGGCATGATTGCCTCTTCTGCTGCTGCAAGTGCCTCATCCACCTTTTCCATCCCCAAATCCGCTGGCCCAACCTTCACTTCCTCATCCTCCTCCGCTTCTTCTCCCTTCACCTCTTCTCCCTTCATTTCCCCTCCCTTCAACTCACCCTCCTCCTCCCTTTCCTTCTGCTCCACGCCCTCACCCCTCTGCTGCTGCCCACTCACGCGCTCACCCCTCTGCTGCTGCCCACTCACGCCCTCCCCCTTCAGCTCCTCACCACTCACGCCCTCCGCTCTTGTCCCGTCCTTTCCTCCCTTCGCAGTCTGTTTTCCCCCATCCATCTCCACCCCTCTCGTCCCTTCCTTCTCCATCTCCTTCTCCTCCTCTGCCTCCTCTTCCTCTTCGTTCTCTGCCTCCCCACCAGCCGTCTTCACATTCTTTGCTTCCCCACCAGTCACCTTCTCATTCTCTGCAGCCCCACCGACCGACCTTGCACCCTCCTCCTCTGCGCTCCCTGCATCATTCTCTCCCTTTTCCTCCTCCTTGCCCGCCCCAGTAACTTCGCTGCGATTGGCTTCAGCAACAGCGGAAGTAGCACCAGCTGCTGCTGCTGCAGCATCGTCAGTGGTACCAGCAGCAGTGGCAACAGTGGCTGCTTTGGCAGAAGCGGCACCCCTAGTGCTGGGAGCAGTGCCATCAATGGTAGCAGCAGGTGCAGTGGCAGCAGTGGTATCGTTAGTGGTAGCAGGTGCAGTGGTACTACCAGCAGCAGGATCCCTGGTGGTGGCAGCAGTGGCACCTCCAGTAGTAGCAGCAGCGGCACCTCCAGTAGTAGCAGCAGCAGCACCGTCAGAGGTAGCAGCAGCAGCACCGTCAGTGGTAGCAGGTGGACGCACCCTACCAGCACCACCACGAGCAACCGAAGCATCCACCCCAGCAACCGCGGCAGTAGCAGCAGCAGTAGCATTAGCAGCATCAACACTTTCCGAAGTGGCAGTGTCAGCTTCCCTATCAGCAGCACCCACAGCAGTAGCCTTGGCACCTTCCGGCCTTCCAGAAGCAGTGGTAGCATCAGCAGCACTAGCAGCATCAACAGCACCAGTACCTTCCGAAGTGGCAGTGGCAGCTTCCCTATCAGCAGTATTCACCGCAGCAGACTTGGCACCTTGCAACCCAGCAACAGGAGAAGCAGTAGAAGCAGAACCACCGGCAGTGGCAGCAGCAGCAGAAGCAGCAGTAGCTACACTCCCCCCCTTCTCCTCCTCGTCTTCCTCCTCCTGCTTCTCATCCCCTTCCTCCTGCACCTCCTTTCCTCCCTCTGTTCCTGTCACACCTCCCGAAGCAGCTGCTGCATCTAATCCCTTGTCCTCTTCCTCCCCTTTCTCGCTTCCCTCTGCTGCACTCACACCAGAAGCAGCTGTTGCATCTATATTCTTCTTGTCTTCTTCCCCTTTCACTCCTTGCTCCGATGCATGCTCGGCAGAGGCTGTACGAGCTGTAGCAGAGCCTGCCGGATCTGTAGGTTCGGCAGGCCTGGCCGAGCCTGGCTTTTTGCCTCGGACAACGGCTCTGGGACCATGTAAGCCCGCAAGAAGGCGACGGTTCGGCCCCACTGGTACAGATGCTGCCGTACCTTCCAAACCGTTAGGTCCGGAGGCTGTACTTCCGGTTGTAGCATCCGAACCTCTAGGTTCGGAAAGTCCAGCCACGAGGGAGGGAGGAAATTCAGCAGAATTAGCTGCTGCAGATTCGGTCTCCGTGGGAAGAGTTGCGAGACGTCTTGAAGCATACTCAGATGTTGCGGAAAGAGTGGTTTCTGGCCTGGGTATGAGAACGAATGGATCAGCACCATCAGTTGATGGAGTGAGACTTTCAGGAACATGCGAAGGGACGGTTGTCCCCGATTGAAGGCCATCCGGTGAGGGACTCAGCGCCTGATACAAAAATACACACCATACGAACGATGAAGAAGGAAAGGACTCGAGTTTGAGAGGGAAGGAGAGAGACGACGGAGTTTGAACATAGATAGAAGTTAACTAGCTTGTTGGAGCAGTAAAACAGTCGGATCCTTGACGTTTTAAGTTGGGAGGCGACACAAGGCGAGAGAGGAGAGGAAAAAGAGAAAGAGGTGAGAGAGACAGGGAAACGAGACAGGGAGACAGGGCTTACCCAAATAGGAGCGACGGAGGACAAGTGAAGAACGATTAGGAGAACGCTGGTCATGGACGATGACGTCATTATACGCTGCGGCGACGTCATCCGACCTTTCGCGACGACGACGAATGGAGTAACAGAATGGATGACAGGAATTACGAACCCTTGCGCTCCGACTATAGGACCGTCACGAGTCGCATGTCGGTGAGCCGCTAAAAGGCTTCACGTTTATCTGTTAGAAGGTGAGGTTAGCAAAAACGACGGGAAAAGCGAGTTTCGGGGACAGAGCATTCACGGCATTCGCTAGGATCTCCGTATTCTCCGCATTCTCTCACGCCAGAGGTAAATATATCCTACTCCTCAGCGAATCGCCGTCTCGTTTGCGATTCTCGTTCGCGAATGCGGAGGCGAGGATAAACTAAAGCTCACGAAAACCTGGTCGGAACAACCTTGGGAGGAGCAGCAATCGGACCTGAAATTGATCTCAGCCGTTTCTCGCTAACCACGGAACTCCTATCTGTACGCAGCATATGTTGAATTCAAAGAACACATGCTGCTGAAATCACAGAACTCCCTAAGATCGATGTTTCCCTTGGAAATACCGCATGATGAGAGCAACGGCATGTTGGTGGGACCAATAAATTGGTAGGTGAGCCAGCCACATGAATGTTTTAATGTCAAACTAATTTAATGTGCCCGCACCGCATGGGGATGTAGCTCAGATGGTAGAGCGCTCGCTTAGCATGCGAGAGGTATGGGGATCGATACCCCACTTCTCCAAGAAGCTCTGGATTTTGTTGGTTCCTATAACCTTCAGAATCTGCTTAGCAAAAGCAACAACCAGTCTAAATTAGATACCATAACTTGCAGCATAACTTGTGGGGCATTGATGGAGAAACCTGTGGGCATACCCATCCCACGCCTCTCCCTTTTGCAAATATCAAAGGCTATATGGCTGTGGTGGGAGAACTGTGCATCAGGTGAAAGCAATTACTCTTAAGGTTCCTAACAGGAATGGCATTGCTTAGCATGGAAAGTCACTAACAAATTCAGCACCAAAGCTGGCAAATGGCTTCTACACTGCACATACTTATACTAGGGACAACAATGTAGTTGGATGTTGCACCCCATCAAATCAGAAAGTCCCATTTTGCATGCGTAACCTTAACACCCCATCCTCCTTATTGAGCTGAGCTTTCTCCCATTAATCCAAGTGTGGCTTTGAGCACCTGCGCACTCTCCTTGGCATACCTTACACTATCCTCCCCAGCCTTCAGCCCCAGCCACTCAGGTGGACACGTGGCAGGCAATGATTGGACCCAGCTGGTATACGCCTCCTCACTGTCCTCATCTGGTAAATTCAGTAACGCCGACACGCTGGTAACCGCATCACCAGCACCAGCAGCAACACCAGTAGCACCAGTAGCAGCAGGAGTGGCTGGAGCGAGCGAGAGGGCGAATCGTGGAGCGAAAAACGCCTTGGGATCTCCAAACACGTGCGAGACGATGCGGGAGAGAGTGGCATGGTCTGCAGGGGTCTCCATCTTGAGCCCGTAAGCGATGTCGAGGAGGAGTGTTCTCACTGCTGGCAGGCAGTTTATAGGTGTCAGATGAACAGGGCTGTCTGCTTGCCAGGCTTGTAGCAGGGATAGAGCCCAGGTGAGGTCCTGTAAAGGGGGAAAAATGGGTGGGAAGAGGTGGGAAACGGTGAGAAGGGCGACAGGGTGTGGGAAGGTGTGATAAGGAGGAGGGTGCGCACTGCTGGCAGGCAGTTGGGGGGCGTTAGGCTGGTGAGGCTGTCTGTTTGCCAGGCTTGGAGGAGAGAGAGCGCCCAGGTGAGATCCTGTTAGGGATGGGAAAGGGTTACAAGGAGTGACAGAGTGAGACGGGGTGAGAAGAAGGGCACATGGCCCAAGAACGTGTAAGGGCACAGCCACCCCCAGAGCAGAGCACTCGCTCCTGCAACACTGCATGCACCCATCACCCTCCAACAGCCCTTGCAGTTACACTCATATCCACTCACATGGTCCATGAAGGTGTAGGGGCAGAGCCACCCCCGGGCACGTAGTGCACTTGCTCCTGTAGCACCGCATGCACCCACGCCATTTCCCCCTAAGCAGCACTGCATGCGCTCACGACATTTCCCCCTAAGCAGCGCTGCATGCGCTCACGGCATTTCCCCCTAAGCAGCACTGCATGCGCTCACGGCATTTCCCCCTAAGCAGCACTGCATGCGCTCACGCCATTTCCCCCTAAGCAGCGCTGCATGCACCCACGCCATTTCCCCCTAAGCAGCACTGCATGCGCTCACAGCATTTCCCCCTAAGCAGCACTGCATGCGCTCACGCCATTTCCCCCTAAGCAGCGCTGCATGCGCTCACGACATTTCCCCCTAAGCAGCACTGCATGCGCTCACGCCATTTCCCCCTAAGCAGCGCTGCATGCACTCACGACATTTCCCCCTAAGCAGCACTGCATGCGCTCACGGCATTTCCCCCTAAGCAGCACTGCATGCGCTCACGACATTTCCCCCTAAGCAGCACTGCATGCGCTCACGCCATTTCCCCCTAAGCAGCGCTGCATGCACTCACGACATTTCCCCCTAAGCAGCACTGCATGCGCTCACGGCATTTCCCCCTAAGCAGCACTGCATGCGCTCACGACATTTCCCCCTAAGCAGCACTGCATGCGCTCACGCCATTTCCCCCTAAGCAGCGCTGCATGCACTCACGACATTTCCCCCTAAGCAGCACTGCATGCGCTCACGGCATTTCCCCCTAAGCAGCACTGCATGCGCTCACGACATTTCCCCCTAAGCAGCACTGCATGCGCTCACGCCATTTCCCCCTAAGCAGCGCTGCATGCACTCACGACATTTCCCCCTAAGCAGCACTGCATGCGCTCACGGCATTTCCCCCTAAGCAGCACTGCATGCGCTCACGACATTTCCCCCTAAGCAGCACTGCATGCGCTCACGCCATTTCCCCCTAAGCAGCACTGCATGCGCTCACGACATTTCCCCCTAAGCAGCACTGCATGCGCTCACGCCATTTCCCCCTAAGCAGCGCTGCATGCACTCACGACATTTCCCCCTAAGCAGCACTGCATGCGCTCACGGCATTTCCCCCTAAGCAGCACTGCATGCGCTCACGCCATTTCCCCCTAAGCAGCACTGCATGCGCTCACGACATTTCCCCCTAAGCAGCACTGCATGCGCTCACGCCATTTCCCCCTAAGCAGCGCTGCATGCGCTCACGACATTTCCCCCTAAGCAGCACTGCATGCGCTCACGGCATTTCCCCCTAAGCAGCACTGCATGCGCTCACGACATTTCCCCCTAAGCAGCACTGCATGCACCCATGCCATTGCCTTACAGTCGCACTCACATGGTCCATGAAGGTATAAGGGCACAGCCACCCCCAGGGGACGTAGTGAACTCGCTCCTGCAGCACCGCATGCACCCACGCCATGCCTACCCGCACTCCAAGACACACTCTAAGCCACACTGCCTGCCCCAACTCACATGGTCCATGAACGTGTAGGGGCACAGCCACCCCCGGGGCATGTAGTGCACTCGCTCCTGCAGCACCGCATGCACCCATGCCATGCCCACCCACACCCGCTCTGGCCCACCCGCACCCGCTCTGGCCCACCCGCACCCACTCTGGCCCACCCACACCCACGCCATGCACACGCACACCCATTCTCGCTCACATACAGAGGCACACTCACATGGTCCATGAAGGTATAAGGGCACAGCCACCCCCTGGGCACGTAGTGCACTCGCTCCTGCAGCACCGCATGCACCCATGCCATGCCCACCCGCACCCGTAGCATCTGCCGCCTCCTCCTCCTCTGTTCCTCCTCCTCCTCCTCCTCCTCCTCCTCCTCCTCCTCCTCCTCCTCCTCCTCCTCCTCCTCCTCCTCCTCGTCACCACCTCGCACTTGCAGCACCGGCTGCTGCTGCTTCCCCTGTCGCCTCTTCTCCACAGCAACCCCACTCCGCTCGCTGCCCCTCTCTGCTTCTTCAGCTGCGTTTCTCTTTCTCTGCTGCTGGCTCCACTGGCTGCTGCCTCTGGCCGAGAGCGAGAGAATGGAATCCAGAGATCTCTGTGGGGGGGAGAGGGCGTGAGAAGGGTGTAAGGAGTGGGCATGAGAGTCGACTCACAGCTCAGCGACAACAAGGAGGAGGAAGAGGAGTGGGCATGAGAGTCGACTCACAGCTCAGCGACAACAAGGAGGAGGAAGAGGAAGCTTATCTCACCTGCATGCTGTCTTTCACCCCTGCCGGTGCTTCCATGACCAGCACGTCACACGCCTCCACCAGCTTGGGAGCGATGTGAGGCAACTCAAACCAGTGGAAGGAGAAAGGGGACAGCAACACGAGAGAGGCTCACCTGCATGCTGCCCTTCACTCCAGCCGGTGCCTCCATCACCAGCACGTCGCACGCCTCCACCAGCTTGGGAGCGATGTGAGGCAACTCAAACCAGTGGAAGGAGAAAGGGGACAGCAACACGAGAGAGGCTCACCTGCATGCTGCCCTTCACTCCAGCCGGTGCCTCCATCACCAGCACGTCGCACGCCTCCACCAGCTTGGGAGCGATGTGAGGCAACTCAAACCAGTGGAAGGAGAAAGGGGACAGCAACACGAGAGCACCAGCACGTCGCACGCCTCCACCAGCTTGGGAGCGATGTGAGGCAACTCAAACCAGTGGAAGGAGAAAAGGGACAGCAACACGAGAGAGGCTCACCTGCATGCTGCCCTTCACTCCAGCCGGTGCCTCCATCACCAGCACGTCGCACGCCTCCACCAGCTTGGGAGCGATGTGAGGCAACTCAAACCAGTGGAAGGAGAAAGGGGACAGCAACACGAGAGAGGCTCACCTGCATGCTGCCCTTCACTCCAGCCGGTGCCTCCATCACCAGCACGTCGCACGCCTCCACCAGCTTGGGAGCGATGTGAGGCAACTCAAACCAGTGGAAGGAGAAAGGGGACAGCAACACGAGAGAGGCTCACCTGCATGCTGCCCTTCACTCCAGCCGGTGCCTCCATCACCAGCACGTCGCACGCCTCCACCAGCTTGGGAGCGATGTGAGGCAACTCAAACCAGTGGAAGGAGAAAGGGGACAGCAACACGAGAGAGGCTCACCTGCATGCTGCCCTTCACTCCAGCCGGTGCCTCCATCACCAGCACGTCGCACGCCTCCACCAGCTTGGGAGCGATGTGAGGCAACTCAAACCAGTGGAAGGAGAAAGGGGACAGCAACACGAGAGAGGCTCACCTGCATGCTGCCCTTCACTCCAGCCGGTGCCTCCATCACCAGCACGTCGCACGCCTCCACCAGCTTGGGAGCGATGTGAGGCAACTCAAACCAGTGGAAGGAGAAAGGGGACAGCAACACGAGAGAGGCTCACCTGCATGCTGCCCTTCACTCCAGCCGGTGCCTCCATCACCAGCACGTCGCACGCCTCCACCAGCTTGGGAGCGATGTGAGGCAACTCAAACCAGTGGAAGGAGAAAGGGGACAGCAACACGAGAGAGGCTCACCTGCATGCTGCCCTTCACTCCAGCCGGTGCCTCCATCACCAGCACGTCGCACGCCTCCACCAGCTTGGGAGCGATGTGAGGCAACTCAAACCAGTGGAAGGAGAAAGGGGACAGCAACACGAGAGAGGCTCACCTGCATGCTGCCCTTCACTCCAGCCGGTGCCTCCATCACCAGCACGTCGCACGCCTCCACCAGCTTGGGAGCGATGTGAGGCAACTCAAACCAGTGGAAGGAGAAAGGGGACAGCAACACGAGAGAGGCTCACCTGCATGCTGCCCTTCACTCCAGCCGGTGCCTCCATCACCAGCACGTCGCACGCCTCCACCAGCTTGGGAGCGATGTGAGGCAACTCAAACCAGTGGAAGGAGAAAGGGGACAGCAACACGAGAGAGGCTCACCTGCATGCTGCCCTTCACTCCAGCCGGTGCCTCCATCACCAGCACGTCGCACGCCTCCACCAGCTTGGGGGTGGTGTGAGGCATTCAAAGGGAGAGGAGAGAAGTAAGGGAGGAAGGAGAAGGAGCAGGAGAAGCGGCTCACCTGCATGCTGCCCTTGACCCCTGCAGGTGCTTCCATCACCAGCACGTCACACGCCTCCACCAGCTTAGGGGGCATCAGCCGCAAGAGGAGAGCAGAAAGTGAGGAAGGGAGTAAGGGACGAGGAGGGCATATCTCACCTGCATGCTGCCCTTCACCCCTGCCGGTGCCTCCATCACCAGCACGTCACACGCCTCCACCAGCTTGGGAGGCATCAGCCGCACAGCCGCCCCCGCCGCTTCCACCGTCAGCACCAGCCGGAAATCCCGATGCACTGGCACTTGCTTCTGCTGCTGCTGGTCCTGATGCACTGGCACGGATCGAGCCGCCTCCACCGTCGATCGGCCTCCGTCCACCGTTGATCGGCCTCCGTCCACCGTCGATCGGCCTCCGTCCACCGTCGATCTTGCACGTGACTGTAACGAGTTGAGCAGCAGCTGAAGCCACGCAGCGTGCCTGGGCACCGATAGGGCCAGGTGGGCATTGCACAGCACCACCCACCGCCCCTCCCTCGCCCCTGTCTCCACCGCCCTCTGTGCTTCTGCCACTGCATCGTCTGAACCCATTGCCACCGCTACAACCCTAGGGCCTGCTGCTACAACCCTAGGGCCTGCTGCTACAGCTCTCACCCCTCCTTCCACTGCCCTCTGTGCTTCTGCCACTGCATCGTCTGAACCCATTGCCACTGCTACAACCCTAGGGCCTGCTGCTACAGCTCTCACCCCTCCTTCCACTGCCCTCTGTGCTTCTGCCACTGCATCGTCTGAACCCATTGCCACCGCTACAACCCTAGGACCTGCAGCGGCTGTAGCAGCAGAGGCAGCAACAGCAATTTTGTCAGCACCTGCGGCTGTAGCAGCGGCAGCAGTGGCTGTAGCAGCTGTAGCAGCAGCAGCGGTGAGCATGGCGGTTGGGTCGCAGCTGCCGACGCAGGCCACCAGGGTCGGGCGGGCAGGCTCGGCCCGAGCCTGCATGAACCGAGCCGCAGCAGCAGGATGCTCCATGGGATGCTCTAGTGCCATTCCGACCCTCCCCCCTGCTGCTCTTGGTCTGCTAACAGCATCAGAACCACCGCCAGCAGCGCCGCCAGCAGCACCAGCAGCAGCACCGGCAGCAGCCCTGGCAGCAGCAGTGGCAGCAGCAGTGCCAGCAGCACAGCTACCCCCATGACTGATCACAGCCTCCACCAGTCTCCGCCCAGCAATGTCCGTTTGACCAGCGTTGACTGCCATTGACTCCACGAACCCCACCACTGCCTCCACTGCAGCACACCCCCTGACCTCATACTCGCTATAAGCTGCCCCAGCTGTCGTACGCTGCAGCTCCTCTTTCACTGCGGCTGAAATATCACCTGCTGCTCTGCCTGTACTCTCAGCTGTAGCAGGGGCTGTAGCAGTGCCTATCGCACAAGCAGACCCTGTAGCAAACTTTGCAGCGACAGTTGTAGCCAAGCCAACCCAGTCCACGTCATCTGCCAGCCTGGCGCAGCGGGATAGGGCGAGGGCCACAGGCAGGTGGTGCCGGTACTCTGTTGCCTCTGCTGTCCTCGTTATAAGCTCACTCAATACTGCTGCCACCAGCTGCCTCACTCTCGGCTTCACAG